TTTCCCACAACCTCTAACCTTTGAGAGCCCAACCCGAGTGATTTCTGCATAAATACCAGACGAAAGTAAAATTGTTATCGGCACTTTTCCATTACACCATGCCCAAACCGCAAAAATGTCATTAAATAATTTCGCTGCGCATTTGCAGTGCTTAAAAACAGAAAAATAAAGTGCAAATCGATGGACAAGTTTTCGGTGCTTTGTGGCAAGGCAGGCGGCTCAAAAACTGTGACTCCCACCTCGCCAGGCAAAAAAAGGAAAACACACACAAATTATGCAACTCTTCGTCGGCCTGGCTTGCAACATCTTGGGGCAGACCAACCCGATCCGACCCGTCCAACAGTTGCAGATGCCATTGCTGCAGCAGCGGCAGCGGCAGCATCATCAGCCTGTTGAAAATCTTGTTTTGGGAACTGAACTGCGAGGCAGCAACAGCAAAAGCAACTGCAACTGCAACAAACGCTTCTTCATTTTCGCGCAATAAACATTTCGGCCCAGACACAAAGCAACAATAAGAAAACGAAAGTGCAGCAACATCGGGCCATAACGGGTTGCCCAGTTTGAACCGCCGTTGGGCTTGGCTATTTCTTTTAGCCATTTTACTATTGCATTACGTGCGGTTGGTTCCTCGCCGAGGATCGTTTGACTTTTGGCCATATTTGCGTTGAGTTATGGCGAGAAAGAAGATGCAGCTGAACAAAACCCGTTTCACGTGGCGTATGAGTAACGCGGAAGTTGACACTTGCTGCACTTGGTACTGTTGGTACGGCAAACTCGGTTGGTTGGTGGGTGAAAATTGCCTTGATATATTTACTATTTACTGTTTACTGCACATACCACGACTAATTGCGGCATTCGTCAGGCGTTCAATTCCTATTTGTCGTCACTTGCAATTAGGCAACAAAAAGCTATGACAAATCCCATTTTGTTTTCTGCATCTCGGTATATTTTTTGGTTGGCCAATCCAAGTGACTTTTAATGAGCTGCAAAAGAAGAGTAGCCATCCATCCGGCCAGCCTGTCAATATCCAGCGATGAGTTATGTCGCCGAGCCCTCTTACTTTCTTTTTAACGATCCCACCGGTTGGCATGTGAAATTATTGTTTATAGGTAATACCATTTTTATTTTTCACTGGGCTAATTTCTTACGATCGTTTCGAAGAAGTTATGCGGAACCAAGCCTGCGGTTTACTGACTTCGTTAATGGCTTAATAATTGAGAAGTTCGCTGGGGCAACGAGATACTATGGAAAGCGGAAGATGCCATGAACCCCCATATGTAACTGCGGGAGATCCGCGATTCTCGGAAGAAATTTTGCTTTTAACTTTTACTTAACTATCTTACGTTCTAGTTTGCAAAGTGGGTCAGAGAATTGGAAAGACCAAGTTGCTAGACTGGCTAAAACAATGATATGAACTAAAATCAAAGCACCTTTTACGCGAATTCTTAAGAAATATCTTAATTAAATTCCTCATGGCAAATCAATTTTTTCTGTTTTTTTTTTCTCTACTCGATGCTAAGTGGGAAAATTTCATAATGCCGCTTATATCACCGATGAAATTAAATTTTCAACATTATTTCCCCAACAGCCCTTTCGCCCTCCTCTGCCCAATCAGGCATGACACTTGGGTTTCATTCACTTTTCAGGCAATTTTCCTCTCATTCAAAAACGAAATTGATTTAATTCTCAATCACTTCGAAGCCTCGAAGTTGGGTGCAAAGCCAATCAAATTAAATCAGACCAAAAAAACACCGAAATAAAGAAATAAGGCAGACCGAATCGGACACTCACTGTCCCGTTGTGATTAGCGTTCAATTATTTTATTTGTTTGTGGTTAGCAGCTGAAAAGGCGATCTCAATGGGATTATTTTTGATGCGATTCGATTTAAAGTGGCGCCAGGCTAATGGCAGCTCGTTACTTTCCTGAAGTGGGAAAAACCGAGGGCTATAATCAAAGGCGATTGGAGGTGCGATGATTGAGGCCCTGAGCCTGATTAGCTCTTTGAGCAGCGGCAAGTGCCTCCATAATCTCTTCACAGTCTCTTTCGTTGACCACTCGTTGACACTTTCCTGTTCTTTCACAAAAACAACTTTCATTATTCAAGCTAAATCCATTAAGAGTTTGTCACCTCTCCGCTCGAATGCCGAAATATCATTCCGATAAATATGCAACCGAACAACCGAAAAAAAATATTTATAAAGATCTCTCGATTGACCCACTTTCCATGCCTTCAAAACGGACAGAACGAGCCCGGCTCGCAAAAAACGAAAGAAATTACAATGAAATGCGGCTTCTTATTATGATTTTTGCTTTATTTTTTTTTTCTTCAGCTGGTGGATGTTGTTGCTGGCGCTGCGACAACAAAAGCCGCACCGAAAACGAACAGGTTGTAGGGCCGCCGTCACAAATATAAAATTATTGCCCCGACGTAAGTCAATGTGAAAAGGCTGTAGTATTTATTACTGGCTCGGGGCTACATTTAATCGAAAATGATAAGCGGGTTATGCCATGGGAAGCTTTATATTATTGGTTGCCTTCGAAACAGAGAGAGTAAATTTCTGTGATGAGCAGCAATTTACCATCGATTTCCTAACAAGCCAGATTTATGGATACGTTAAAAGATTTGCTAATTGCTTGTCGCATTGTTAGGTTGTTAAAGTTTGAGTGAGGAATTAGGGAAAATTAAGAAAATGAATAAAAGCTACATACATAAAATATGAAACATAATTAATTATGAACACTACATTCTAGGGTTGTGAAAACATCGATATTATCGATACTATCGAAAATCAAAGAAAAACTCGAAGCAACGTTTCGTTACAAATTTAAGCTTATATCATAACACTTATAGAAAAATAATCGATCTCAAGAGTACCGCAATCGATAGTATCGATAGTGCTATCGATCGTTTTACCAACCCTACTACATTCTCTTCTAAGTGCAGTTCTTTTAGAGCTTTTAAGCTGTGAATTGTTTTGTAGCCCAACAAAAGTGAAAGCAAGGCGAGTAAAATAAACATAAATATGTTAAATAAAAGCAAACAAATATACAAAAAAACAACAAAACAACAAAACAAGGCAACAATTTGGCAGGCCCAGAAAAACATGTTCGAAGACAGAAAATCGCTGTTTCTGCCGGGATGCGATGGGGATTTCTGTTGGGAACTGCGAAGCTGCTGCGCCTGCGTCGTGAACTGTGGAACTTGTGGCTGGACATGGACGATGGGCAACAACAGATGGTACTGTGAACAGTTGACTGCCCGGCTGCCAAGTTTACACGACACAAAGACGCAACTGCAGGCGCTACGTGAGGCAATGGCAGTATATACAAAATAATAAAAGTTCAAATTAAGCAATACAAAAACAAAGTAAAAAAGAAATTGCACATCCACCAATAAGCCGACAAATCCCGAAAAACAACAAAAGTCTCTCAGGCCTCAGCCACTGCAACTTGAACGTCGACCAATTCCTGTTCACTGCCAGACAAAAGGAAGATGATGATACTTTTTTCTTTGGCCAAATAACAAAAAAAAATGGTTAAGATGCAATCGCAGGCCATTGCCACAGCTTATGTCAATAGTGAGAGATGATGTTGGCAAAAATCTGGTTCGAACACGTTTTTCTTACTTTATGGAAAAGATTGTGCAAGTTGCCGAAAAGGAAATTGGCAAGTCAACCTGAACCGATGCACGAAAAGGTTAAGGACAAAGCGAAGCGAGTGGTGAAAATACTGTATCGAAATGGGAAATATATTTGCTAATTGACTGCACTCACACTGCCCAAATAATTTGAACTCAGGCCCTCTTAATCTGTCTGTCTGTCCCTCCATTCAACCATAATCCCATATTAAAACATCGCCCGCAGCACAAACAACATCAAAATAAATCTTTTTTACGTAATCCAAACCTCAATTATAGGCATTAGTTCATCCAAAAATAAAGCTTAACAACGAAAAACCGAAAAAAAAATAAAGAGGAGACAACAGAGCTGTTGATTTCACATCATAAATTGTTGTGGCTTTTGGCCAAAACTTTTTGGGCTTTAGGTTTAGCCGTGAAAGTGAAAACTGTAACAGCGGTTGGCAAACATGATCAGATTACATCAACATAGGTAAATCACCGGATCTGGTTAGGTTAATCAATTAACTAAGAGACCTTAAACTTGCCAAAAAACCCAAAGAAGTTCTCAGAAAACAAAATGACTAGACAGTTTTTTTTGGGTAAATCTTCAAGATGCTTGCTTTTCTTTTCGATATTTTTGGTTCCCTGACCACTCCAAGCGAACAGGTTTAAACGTTGTCCCATGACTTTACGGCTTTTACTCCTCCTTTGCATCTTCATTTAATCGAATTCCCCCGCCCCCGAACTCAGCGAAAGATAAAAATATTTTTGTGAAAAGGGAAAGTTCATTGAGGCGTTGAAAATCGTTTTCGTTTTCAGTTGCGGTCCTAAATGTTTCAACAATTAATATTGAAATTCCGAAAACAAATATTTAAATAATTGAATTTTTAAATAGGCAGTGGGAACTCCTACTGCGATCAGTTGGGGGTTAGGGTTATCTTGAGGTTAGAAAGTCTTATGCAAGTCTGGGGAATTTCTGAGATAGGCGCCCAAAAACTCTGTTTCGCCGTTTGACATATTTATGCGAGTACTACTCAACGCATGGCAACTTTCTTTGGCCGAGACTCGAAAAGATCTAAAATCTGTGTCAATTTGGTCGGGACAAACGAAGAGTCCACAAAGCCCGGATTTAACAATGAATATTTGCATATCGCTCAATGGAAATGCAAATTAAGTGATAAACATTTCTTTTCTCCATTTCTATGATTATTTGGCACATATTTGGATTGACGTTTATGAGTTATTGCCTTTGTCTAATGGAATGTGGAACACCATCGATGAGGTTTACAAGATTGAGGGGAATTGAATTGCTACAACCCAGTGTCGACACAATGACATGATATTTGGGTTAATTTATTTTTTATTTAATTTTTTACTTACCCCATTGTGAAGCCCCACATTGGGTGGTGGTATAAATCCTTGTGCATTCGCAGTGACCACCCACAGGCACAAAGTGCCCCACAGTGCCAACGAGACTCGCATGACTCACTCGGGAATTCCAAAGGGATTAAAATTCCTCAGATAATTGTTATTGTTTTTTTTATTTTTTTTTTGGATTAATCAGATATCAATGCACTATTTTCCTTTCGAAACAAACACGATACGACTGAAATTATCCAAGTGAAAAAGGGCGAAGCGCGAAAAATGTCAGTTATGCGACACGAAATAACAACACAAAATCCAAATCAAGTTATTTTAGTTACGTTTTCTATTTGCTTTATGCAAATGATGCAGTTTTCTGTTTTCTTCGCTCTCGGTCTTAAAATTCCGTTAACGTTTGAGCCGCGTTCGGGGACTTTTCAAGTGACTGCCAGTGGTAGCAGCCGCAGACACGACTTGCCTGGTAAAAGTTTGAAGCTTAACTGAAGATCATTAAACGTTTGGTAACAATTTAAGCCAAGCTCGCGACGAAGATGCCAAAAAGCCGTCGCAGTGGCAACGAAGACCTTGTTGCTGACGAGCAACGGCAACATGTTGCGGGCCAAGTCGAAGAGGCAGCAAATCTGGCCGAAGAGAAAGCAAAGAGCATGGACTTTTGGTCGAAAGAGAAAGTGTTCGCTGGCAACATGAGGAAATGGCTTGCATCTGCTTATCAATTTAGCGTGAATCAGTGGCTTATCGAATCCAGAAACGGCATAGCCGAAACTTAAATCTCTGTCTCTGATAGCCATTTCTACCTGGCCAAAACGATTGTGGCCACAACCACGTAGCTTACTCGGAAGTGGCGATAAGAATCCGGATCGGGGGCGTCCGAGAATTTGAGCTTTACCCGAAATAATTTTATTGCATTGCATCGTTTAAGCCAAAGACGTGCGGATCTCAACTACGGCGTTGAAACCACAGTAGCCGGCGATTTATTACTATATTTTTATGGTCTATAGACTGATTCACATGTTTATGACTCGGGCATGATTAATGCTGAGCTGTAAGATCGATTGAGTAATGTGTTTGGAGGTTCCCGCTGAGATCTCATAAGGCGATCCACTGAACAGCACATTACGCCTTACATCACAGCCACTTGGCAGTGAATCTACACTCAGAAAATGAATCGCCCTGAATTTTAGAAAATCGCCTATGGATTTGCTTCACTGGCGATTTTTTTCTTTAAAATAAAAAAATTTTCTACTGGTAAAGAAAATTTTCTTCCAATTAATCAAAATTCATTAAATTCAAGAAATATTCCAGAAATATAGAAAAAAATCGCCAGTAAAGCAAATCCATAGGCGATTTTCTAAAATTTTTTTTTGAGTGTACATATTACGCTTGATTTGATATCTCAATAGAGAGGCGCCGTGTGAGCTGGGGATCATCGGATTAGTAGAAAACATTTATCATTGGAAAACTTTAACGTTTGGTAGCGAAAGAAAGATTAATTAAAAAAGTCTGACCAACTGAGCACAAAAAAGAAAGGAAGTTTCAGAGGGTCTACCTAAAAAATTATTTATAACATATATGTATATTTTTATTTAGAATTAACGATTCCTAAAATATATACATTTCAATTTTAACGCTGACATCGTAAAAAAAAATTTTCGGAAACTCCAAGTACCAAAATAGTACCTCACTTTTATTTTCCGGCATTTCTGGTAGCGGTAGTTGAATTGATAAGTTCGTTTCCTTTTGTGGAACACCTAATCCAAAAGAAAAACGTATTTTATATCTGAGAAGCATCTACAAATTATTGCATTTCCAGCTTTCCACTCAATTATTTCCAGGTCGCCAGCAATTCGGTGGCGACTAATCAACTAATCCATCAATCAACTCCCCAAACAGTCATTTCATCGCCGGTTTCCAAAAATAACTTTTCACTTTCCGGACGCTCAGCAAAACAAAGTGCAATCCCAAGGCCAATTATCTAAGGCCCAAATGCAATTCTAAGCCCGACTCGACCACAGGTACCTTTAAGTGGCGATTGCATAAGTGGCAAGCGCCGGGGAGCTTATCAGGTTTTGGCTTCTTTGTTCCATTCACAGACCAAGATAATAATGACCCATGATGATACTAAAGATCGGGGCCCGTCGGTTGTCCAAATCATCGCTCCTCGGGTCTTTTGTAGTGCGTGCTTAAATTTTATTTGATGACTTTCTTTGTTGACCGATCATCGGGCTGTGAGAAAAGAGCCTCTGCGCAATCCCCGAAATCGGTGGAAAATATTTTCACCTGTAGTTCGTTCGTTTGATTGAATTGTTTGCACAATCCGTAGAAAATATTAGCAGGAAGTTAACCCCTTGTCAAATCAATTTCTAATTACCCGATTTTAATTTCTATCTACTTATTTTTTGGCTATTTCTGTCTTTCTCTCTGTATATCCCGCGGCGTGCTCGTGTTTCTGTAATTACTTCCCACACACGGCGAAACCTGTGAGCTATAATTGCCAATTTCGCTTGTTTGCTAATGGTTCCCCATTAAATTTTGACTACCAGGGTCAGAGACAGGGCAATCCCAAAGTAATGTAATAAAATATCCAGTGGCAGTTGGGATCTTGCCTTCGATCAATTACAAGCCATCGAAAGTGACAAACAAATGGTGATGCAAAATATTAAATTGTTTAATTTCTTTTGAATTCAGTATTATATTTTTTTTGTTATTTATTTACTAAGGGTGTTGTTAATTACTATAGCCTTGTCTTTATTGTACCCTAAACCACGGAGCTGACCTCTGATAAAGACATTTATGGAATGCAATTTAGTTTTATGCCGAAAAAACATAAAGTTCGTGGGAAGCCGCTCCTTTCGTATGCAGAAAATATATTTTTAATAAATCTAATTTAGATTGAATGATACTTCCATTAAAAAGATTTACATAACTGTTCTTAGCAGCACTAAAACATAAGTAATTTGCCCTTTTAATATCTGGTTAAAAATCTTGATGAATGGGTAACCAAAAGACAGTTGATATATCTGCCCGAGATTAACAAAAAACAAAAGCCATTGCCAGATAAACGGGCGGACAACAAAAACTGAAACACCGAAAAAAGACTAAATGCTTTACAAATACCCAACAACAAAACGCTCGAGGGGAAAGACTTTCACCTTGCGACGAATGATCAAAAGAAAGAAGGAAAGAAATGTATGAGCAGAAGCAACAAAAAGGCCAAGAAAAAGGCAGAAGGCCTTCGAGACAGATGCCATGGACCCGAAACCGAAAAACCGAGCCCGACCTGCAAATGGCCTCCACCTGGCAACAACAAGTGGGCAACCCGACGATCATGATCATGATCATCGCGGTGATCAGCAGGCGCTGAAGAAGCCACCATCGTACGTCAATAAACCTTTGACTCAATGACGCTTACGACTGCCGCTGCTGCCTGTGCTTAACACCCGATCCCAGACCCTCATAGGGAATTCGGATTCGAATTGTGGTCGGTGTGAACTGCGATCGTGAGCTGGCAACTTTTACTTTTCATTCAAGAATGGGTCGGGCCTTGGGATTAAGTCATATGTTCATGGCTGATCCACTGCGTGTACTTAGAATTCTACTTTCCCCGAAATCTGACCACTCGTTTGCGTTAACCCCCACGCAGGCACTTGGGAATCAAAAGTGAAAACAAAGCGTTGGGCATTTGAAGCTGTCAAGTTTTGGAACAGGTTGGGATCTTCAGATCAGTACAGTCGGATGCTCAAACCTCATTCGATGCCCAAATCTCCAAGTCATTTAGGATAATCGTCAACTATTTATTAAGCAACTATTGACACCATCCACTAATGGCTTAAGCAGATACAGTTATTAGTTAGGGCCCTATTTAAGCTCAATCACAATCAATCTACTAAATATACAAATATTAAACAACACGCAAAAATTGCCAACTTTGTTTTCATTTCAGATGCTGTCGGAAATTGCATAATGCATGCGAGCGACCAAAGATTCGATTAATAACAAAAACTAAATTATTGCGGAGCCCTCGCGGCAAACTCAAATGGTGTCACGTGGAATCATTAGGTCCAACACCAAAATTGGGAAAGGCAAAGAAGCCGGGCCGACGAAATTAGATCGTACATAAAGTCAATATAGTTTGGTAACCTGTAACCGCTTCCGTTCGGGCTAATATATAATTTAGATTAAGTTTGTCATTGAGTAAAAATTTATGAGAAACATAAAAACTAAAATATAATTATAAAGAAATTTGAAAAGGTAGTTTAATAACGCTTGGTTAATATAAACAATGTTGGTACCGCTTAAATTCTTACTATGTAATGGGTAATCCAATTTGGGTTTTTAAAATTGTTAAGCTTCATTGCTACAAACTATTTTATTAAAACTATGTCTGCATTTAGTAAACAGGATACAGAATTAAAAAAGGAAAATATTCCTTGTTGAAAATAAACCATCAAACTAAATTCAATTCTGCTAAAAATAATAGGACTCATTCGATGCTCAAATCTCCGAGTCATTTTGGATAATGGTCGACTATATGTCCAAATATTCGTTCAACACCAAAAAAGAAAAATCATTTCAACATTTACTTAAATTTCATTTTACCTTATATTTACATTTAACGCAAGCCTGTAAATAGGCAGTAATATATTTTTTAGGCTAGACTTTTAGCTTTGAAAAATAATTTTAACGGTTAAATACCGCATTATTATACAAACTAAGTATATTTGAAGCTATTGTTGTATTGAAAATTAAAGAATTGACAAGATATTTTTTAAGTTTTCCGATGAACCGAGAAATCGCGACCCCAAAATATAGCAAACACACTTTTTTGAGTACATAGTTTTTCATTTATTCTTTTTTTTGTTGTAATTCTTGTAATTGTAATTGATTACATGTTGGTTTTCTTGATCTATACAATTAATATGCGTCATTAATTTAAAATTGATATATCTGTACGTATAGTTTTATAATTATAAGTTTATCATTGTTTTCAATTAATACTAAACGTTAAATTCGAACACACTTTGTAAAACAAGTTTTGCAATTGGATTTGTTTTTGTTTTTTTTTTTTTTTGTCAAAATTTATAATAAAACACATAAAGAAAGTATCAGCGATAATTACGACGAGTGGCAGAGAAAACATTTACAAATAATACGAAAGAAGCTCCAAACTATCGCAGCTGTGTATATATAGGCTTAGGTATTGTAGTCCTATGTGATATATATCCAAAAGTCATGAGCAAAAATTGCAATTTGTGTACAGTGTTATCTAACTTACAGGATTACAGGTTACAAACTTCGTTCAAATTACAGTCTGGATTTGGTAAGCCTTCTTACCCAGCTCAAGTTCCTACTAAACTGTCAGCCGTCTTGTTACATTTTCAATACACAAACTTTAATTTGAATAAAACAGTATTTATTGGTTTTGCTTTTGCCTCCACTAATACGGTTTACATAGATGTGGCGCACTACAGTTATTGTATATTGGGTTGGTTTATTATTCGGTTGTGATATTGGCCATATTTTGTTTCTCTATCCGTCTAGTTTTAATAGATTTATAGTTCATTAAATATATGTGTTTTTCTTTCACTAAATTATGACATGTATTCCGTGTGGATAGGGTTGATGGGTGATAGTTCATTTACTTCCATGCGGAATTCAAACTTATCTTGCATTGGTAGACTAAAGAGTTGATTTGCTTCAGTGTGATGTCTCTGATGTTGGCCATCGAACCTCCAAGATCTTAAACTACGAATACAATTACAGTTAAGATATAGATACATTTCCTTTTCGCATATGTAACTAATAACAGCCTTGATACTGTTGCAAAAGACATGGAAGCTGTATGAAATTGTTACAGATTTGAGTCGTAACCCTATAAATAAGTATGTATCTTTGAGTTCGGGTGAGTGGGATGCGTTGGGTGAATCGTTACAAATGTTGTCTACAACTATGTTTAGTATATGCCATATCTAATAGACTATATCTAGGGTATCTTGTTCCTTTGAGCTGGCTTCTGTTTTCTTTTGTTTAGTATATGTTTTTTATCTTTGAAGTGTTTGTTCATGTTGAATACAGTGTGAAAGGATGACTTGCAACACCTTGGTAGTTGGAGGGAAGAGAATACTTTTCGGAAAAGGTTTGTGATAGGGGGTGAATACGAATACGATTGTGAATACCTTTAGCTATGGCAGTAGCGAAATAAAATAGGGTTCAGGGAAACTGAGAATACTGCAAAGTGCTGCAAGAAAGGACTCCCTCTTAGCTGGGCGGGGATTTTCCAGGAGCAAGTGGTTGGTACAACAGCAATGCGCTCGCATTCAAATACAATTCACACACGTCTCTAATTCCTATAATAACTACAGCTAGGTGCGAGGAGGTCTATTCCTTCGCCTACTACTCCTCCTCCCGCTCCTTGACATCAGCGCAGTGCTGTGGACGCCACTTCTAGCTCCAGAAGTCCATCATGTTGACCAGCTTGCACTTCTTCAGCTCCAGCTTGGTCGGCCTTGCCCGGAGTCAAGCCCGTCCAAAGATGGCCCTGTCGGAGACATCGCCGGTGGACTGTGAGTGCGACATGGCCATGGTGGCGGATCCGCCCGACGACGACTGCTGCTGCTGGCCACCCGCTCCGTGGTGGTGATGGTGGTGCGTGGTCGTGGCAATCGTGGCCGTCGACGCATTGTGGTGCGTCACATTGTGATGGTTGTGCGCCAGCGTCGAGCTGCCATACTTGGAGGTCATGGCGCCCACAATCCCATTGCCGGTGCCTCCTATATGCTTCCTGGTGGCCGCCGACGAAACGTGATGGGTGCTGCCACTGCCGACTCCTCCGTAGATGCGGTGCAGCGAGTACTGCTGCACGGACTCCAGATCCGAGACGCTCGACGTGATCTTCGAGCGCACCGCCACCTTCTGCATGCTGTTGTACTTGTCGCTGGCACTCAACTTGATATCGGGCAGGTGTCCATTGGACTGGGCATGGCCGTGACTCTGGACCGGCGGCTGTACCCGCGACTTGTTGGTGGTGGCAATCGCTGCATTGTGCACCGCCGTGGTGCTGGTTATGGAGGCCACCACTGGGCCACCGTTGGTGCCCGGCGAGATCTCCGAAAAGCTGTAGCAGGAAGACTTCTGGGACACACTGTTCAGACCGGAACTGGACGAGCTGCTCGACATGCGGCAGCTGCGATGGCGACTGGAGGTGGAGGGCTGCAGAAACTCGTGGTGGGCCGCCTCGTCTGGCGTCATGCGCTCCGCGGGATCCCACTCCAAACAGCGCTGCAGGAAGTCGATGAAGTAGCGGTCCTGGCAGTGCAGAATCTGAGCCAGCGACTTGCTGCCCGGCGTCCGTTTGCGTCCCTTGGTGTTGGTTATGCAGCGCGGCGCGTCGCGGGAATCGAAGAACAGGCGACGCCTCCTGGCCACCGAGATGAGCACCTTGGGCGGCAGACCCAGCACCTCCATGATGCAGGCCAGTTGCTCCACCTCGTTCTCGCCGGGGAAGAGTGGGAAGCCCGTGTACAGCTCGGCCAGAATGCAGCCTATAAAAAAATAAACGGAGAGGACAGAGAGGTTGACATATAATTAGTATTGATTTTCGGTGCTCGATGGGGGACAGCAGGAATTGCTGCAGTCATTTCGGGCGGTCAAACAGGCAGGCGCATTGACCTTGACTTTGTGACTTGGCCAACACGTGTCCCCAGATTATTTATTTTCTACGGCATTTTCTAATGGACTTTGAGACTCGAGAGTTCTGGTGGATTGGTTGGTTGATCAGTCAAGGAGAGATGTCACTGCAAGATGACCGAATCAAGGCCTTTGATTGACATTTTGTGACTCAATAGTTTTCCTCTCAATTGTGGCTATTCATCTCACTTTGCAGTTGATTCTTATTTCAGTAACTGAACATGAATGGCACAAAATGGAATGGATTGTTGAATAAGCAAAACAGACTTTTACTTTGAATCAAGTTTAGAGATGACCAAGGCTTTTCATAGGAAAACAAACCAATCAAGGGTTTTCTGCTATCAATTATTCTATGAAAAATCAAAGAGAAATTTTCTTGTAAAATGTTTGCAACAGTTTTGCTTTTATTACTCGAATTCCAAACTTCTTTCAGTCACTTTAAAGCTCATCTGCTTAGCCCAACCCCATTAATCTGATATGCAACCTATCTGAAACTATATACTACCTACTTTGCTGTCCAGCCTGCACACCTGGGACTTTTTCTCTCCCTGCAACCTCATTTACCTAATGAAGCTGAAAGCAATCAAGCCCACACGTATCTATTGCAGATGGGGGAGCTGAGTTTGCTAAGAGCTCACATCATTCCGCACGTAACCCATTTCCATTGCCTACACTTACACTATATGCTCAGTGCTCAGTGTAACTCACGAAGAAGCCCAAGACGGCGGATAAAAATAAACTGAGCTGGCTTTTATTAGGGCCCAGAAATAACAACCTGCCACCGCAGGACCTCACGTCCGTGCGCACATTTAATGAGTCCTTTGTTGTCGACGGAGCTCTGTTTCTGCTTCTGCTTCAGCTTTTGCTGCTGACCGGACGTGGCTGTGGTCGGAAATGGGCGCTAAAAGGATGTGCACGATGAGGCCAGGAGTGGCTGCTAAAGGTCCGGGGCTGGGCAAAATTATTGTATACATAAACTTCAAGTGGGGCAGCGGCACTTGTTGAGTGTTGCCCCCCCCGTGAACCGCACCTCCGGCACCTTCGTCGATATCTCATTGTTCGGTCGGTTGGAGGAGGTCCTTTTCCGCCTTCGCCTTTTGCCTGTTGCTACTAATTGGCCTAGTGCGTGTTCTTACACTTGGCTGAGCTTTTCGCTTTTGGGCTAGGTCAATTGAACGGGCAAAGTGGAATAGCTTTGCTGCGAGAAAGAATATCCGAGGACTAACATCTAAGTAGCTTTCCTCTAGTTGTTAAAAAAAATAGAAAATTAGAACTTAGGTTTCCTTAACACACTACACTATGTTCAAAATTATTATTTTTAATAAATAAATAATAAAACCTCAGTAAACCCTATGTTTCCTTAAATCACTGCACTATGTTCAATATTTATTTTTAATAAATATTTTTAAATGAGGTTATCTTCCCTCGGTACACCCTATGTCCTAGAAACACGTGCAATATAACCCACAAATGTTAAATATTTAATCCTTCCCACCATTGCCGGGGATATTTATAGGGCCAACCCGTGTGTGGGCCATAAATTTGCCTGCCAAATGCAGGGCAGCAAGCATTTAAAATTTCATTGCAACCTGCACATGTTTTCCAGCCCACTTGGGAACACAAACTGGCCAGGATGCTTTTTTAATTAAAAGCGAGCACACACTTACCCAAGCTCCACATATCGATGGCGGTGCCGTATTGCAGGCCGAGAATCACCTCCGGGGAGCGGTAGAACCTCGATTGGATGTAGGTATAGATTTTGCGATCCACGTAGCATGAGCTGCCAAAGTCGATGACTTTTATGGAGCTGCTACCGCGCTGTTTGAGCAAGATGTTCTCCTAATATATTGAATTTTAAAAAGTATATTAGTTGAGGCGAAAATATTTAATTAAATCCACAGCACTTACCGGCTTGAGATCACAGTGAATGATGTTTTCCTTGTAGAGCAAACGCAGGCACTTCACAATCGAGTTGCAGAAGCGTCGTATGAGACTCATGCTGAATCCATTGTAGTTGTTCTTCTTTATCAATTCGTACAGGTTCAAGCTGTAAGGACAAGGGACGAATTGTTGTATTAGTAGTTCAACCCTTCATTGTAAAAGAGACTTGACTCAAACATGAGTCAGCGACAAACCCCCATCGGATTCGGAATCGGAATCGTTGACAAAACAAGAGACACTCTCGCAAATGGAGAAGACAACAAGGAGTCACTAGCCAAATGCCGGCCGCTATAAGCCCTTCGATGTGCCACGTACATATACTATAATGCCGGCAACATGCACTGAATTAATTCCCATTGCATGTCGGGCACGAATTTGGGCATACAACGATAACGTTCTACGTCAGCAACAACAATATCGACAATGCCAGTCATGAGCAGTCAGTCGGGAGACGACAATAGAACGATACCGAAATGGTGGCAAATCAAGCCAAAAAGAGCTGCCAAACAATGACAAACAGTGGGGCAAGAAACGGTCTTAATTTTAAAATAATTTTTAAAAAAATAAACAAGGGGCTACAGATTTTTTCACTATTTTTATCGTAAGTAATTTAAATGAAGATATATATTTGAAAATTTTATAAGAACTTGTTAAAGTGATAATCTCGAATCTTTAAGTAATTTTAAGAGTACCATAGCGATTTATACAGTGGGTTTTAAAGAATTTGTATCATTCCTAACAATATAACAAGTATTTAAGGAATTCAGGACTGAGAAGTAGGTACACAACTTGCCCAAAAATATCACCGTTTATATATTACAATAGTGTTCTGTTTGTTCAATCCTTTTAATAATAACCACTGTGTACGTAAACCTCCTCCTTGGGATATTAAAATTGTCCCCTGACTTTGTCAACCCTTTCGCTGTTTTTGTTTACTTTGCGATTTCTGTGCCATGTTTACTGCACTCGCAGTTTATGTCGATTAATTAACTGATAACAAAGGAAGTTTCATTCCCTCAATGTCAATGCAACCACAAAAGGATAAAAAAAAAATAAATGCCCAAGATTACAGTCGGTGGGTGTAATATGCTCGTTGATGAAAAGTTTGGTCAATTGTTGTTGCCAGTATTTTGGCAATCGATGATTGATGACTTTCAGAGGCCACGTCAGAGGGTAAGATATTTGTCTTCCTACTCCATCTGGCCAAGAAATGTCCTGCCGTTCATCACCACACAGATCTCAATTTATTGAACTCGCCTTCATTTCCGTTTTCCCCCATATAAGCTGTTATATACACATCGTCGCTATCAATAACTTTATCGCCTGCTCATGAGTGCTGCTTTGACATGTTTGACCTATATAAAAGAGATTGGTGGATGGCCAAAAGTAATAACTGCTCCCGGCATGAAAGGAATCGGGACTTTTGTGTGGGACCAGATGAATCACTAAAGGTTGAACCAATTGAAGCTAGGGAATATGAATTTCTACACAGTTTAATGAATTTCATATATTTTTGAAAGCAATCATATCTTAAATATAATAATATGTCTTCTTTCGATTATATGTAATTCCGTTAAAAAAATTTTAATTTTTTTTTAAGGACCTTTTTCTTAGGATCCTTGCGTCTGGGAATATTTTTGAGAACACAGTTTCAATTTCGGATTCGAAGAGTAATATGAAACGTTTTTACCCTAATAAAATTATATCTTTTACATATAAAAAAAATTATTTCAAAAACGTTTCCTCTTTTAGACTTCGAATTATATCCTTCTAAAAGGTCCCTAACTTTTTATTTGCCTTTTTAAAGCTCTACATTTTAGTGCGAGTGACTTTTAACATTTTAATCGTGTCTTGAGGCTTTGAGCCATGTTTTACAGCTTGTACATGTAGTAATCCAATTTAAATTTATGTCAGCATACGGACAGGCTAACACACACACTCTCTCCCAAAACCGCTAAGAGTGTTTAAAAGCGCGCTAAGCTGATTGAGCTAACAGAGTGCCAAGGACGTTTTCTCGTCGTCTCCTCCCCCACAGCTAAAGGCACATAATGGCATGGATGACTGTCAAATCGTTGGGAAACACTCAGGCTCAGGCGGCTAGAATGGGGAGGGAAAATATCCCACCCAGACCGCAAAGGTCACGAGGCTTTTAATTTGAAAACTTTCATTTTACATTGCAACTGGCGCCGCCTGTGAGAATGAATGCCAAAATAGCAGGCCTTAAAGTGACTTTAGGCTTTAAAGAAAAGGCTGGCTGTAAAATCAATATTTACAGCCGAAAATCCAAAATAGATGACGAGCGGCTGTGGGAGGTATTTTCGTTTGGCAAACAGACGAGTCTATAACAAACCAATAAGAAAATCATCAAAATGTCATAATTTCAATCGGCGAATCGGGACAGTGTATGCTTACAAGTCGGCATATTATAACTGCATTATGACATGCCACACAGTCGGCGGCGGAGAACCAATGCCAAAAGTCCATGAGTCTGCCATGAACTTGAAAATTGTTTCTTTTTTGCCTGAGGCGTCTTTTTCCGGCCCGCTTTTCCGTGCCGAAATTCCGCTGGTAATTTGATTGATTATTTGCCCCTGCGACGATGCAACTGCAACATGCAATTGTAACGAGCCACTAATGCCTTGCATTTAGCACACCAAAAATGGAGCAAAATAATGCCAGAGGCTAGTGAAAGTGAATTCGGATAAACAAAGCCGGGAAAATCGGATGACGCCCCCAATAAACAAGAAATGCAGAGAGAAGATTGAAGGTCTTCATTTAATGGTTTTCTTATTTTTCAGACTTTTTTTTCTGTTAAATTAAAACTCTATAATCCACATCTCAGCACCGTAAAATGCCAGTGTTGTGAGAAAATAAACTTGTCTCCCACGTCAAGAATGGTGTCACCTTCACTGTGTGAGCTCGAAAATAAACTTTTTCGTAGCTTTCGGGCAAATTTTAGCATAAATTTTATATTGGTTTCCCTGCCGGGTGAAAGCGAAAAGTGATTGCCATTGATTGACAAGTGAGTGTGATGGGGAAAAGGTGTCCTGTCTACATTAGCATAGCGAATTTCAACGTTCGAATGGAGTTGAAGGCGGAATTAATTTTATTTTGCGGTTATCGATTACAGTAGGCCACCTTTCATGTGGTATTTACGAGGTCTTTCCACAAAAAGTTTGACTCTAGCGCACATTTTCTACCTAATTTCTTCTTAAATATCCATAAATATTCCAAGTTAAGCCGGCTTAACCGAGAAGCTGCCTTTGAATTAATGATGCTGTCCCTGGCTGGGACGTTTGTGACCTTGCTTTTCTGCCTCCCAGTCCCAAGGACTGGCCACATTTTCCCGCAGAATATCCTTTTTGGTCCGTCGTTGTGCGGCATTTTAATTAGTCGACGGCTGTATGACAGCCGGCAGCTACGTAGTCGAACCGTAAATAATCACAGAAATGTAGAAAAATATCCTGATGGTGAGATGGGGTGGAGTGGAACTAGAGGCGAATTTACCTTTTAGTGGATGATAAATGACTTGGCCTTGGCCATGTTAACTGGCTTCTATCTGTCGACGGGCGACGGGCGTAGAAGCAAAACAAACTTAATGCCTGGGAAATGTCAATTAGCGGTAATTACTGTGCCATGGCACGGCATAATAATAACCTACATCAACATCAACATCCGTCGAACAGCTGACACGGACACCAACAGCCCCTCTCGAGTATTTATTCTCCTGGTAACTCAATCCGCGAACTCGTCCTTGCCGCTCGTCCCTAATTGCAATTTACACGCGCGCTGAGTGCAAAAATTAATTAAAAAGAATAAACTTGCAGGACCTGTGCTCATTTGCATGACCACGCCCCCTGCCCATACGCACGCCGCATGTTGCATTTTAATTAAAAATCATTTCGTCCTGTCGTCCTTTTTCCCCACATGACCAAAGGCAGCGGACTGACGACGACATCCCGTCAGTTGTCTATGTCCATGTCACTTTCCCGTTGGCGGTGGGCATGTCTGGAATAGTCAATTACACGCCTGATGACAGGCGGTCACATGCTGCATCTGTTTGACATTGATTGGCTTTGAAATGGATAAAGTTGTGGTGGAGAAGTGGGTCACCAGGTATATTACAACTTATTGGTTTTTATAGGATTTAAAATATGTAAATGTAAATAAGAACCAATCTTGCATACAAATTTTATTTTAATACCTCATTATTTAACATTGTAATAATTTTTGGGAAAAGGATTACTCTTTAAATTATTAAACCCTAAGTTGCAACATTTGGAATTTAATGATTTCAGCCTTTCATCGATGAATATTTATTTCCAAATAATTTATATATAATTTTATATAACCAATAAAATTTTAATTTAAAGGACTTTATATTTTAAAATCTTTAAGTGCTGGATAAACACATTTTTAGATAAAAATTTATTTGCAACTAATTTATTTCCAAGTTAAACCACAATGTCCCATTAAATCTAATATCCTGTTAATTTCAGAAATTGATTCTCCGACGATTATCGCCAGCTGATCTCGTTATGAGCCATAAAAATTGAAATTAAATCATGACACATTGCATAGCGAATGCCCGCTGAGTTGGGAGAGGAAGTCGCTGACATTGGAAGCGGTGGGGGAGGATGAAGAGGTCCCCCCGGGCAACATTAGCTGAAATTTATGTGCTTGACACACACCCACAGACTCTCTCTCACAGACCCAGAAACTTGGCCACATCCACAAGGCCCGAAGCTCGTTCTTGTTTGCGGCCAAAAAGGAGCAGCGTCATTCTCGCTGGGACAATATGCTGCATAGTTATGGGGGCCCCGGTATGTGTGTTGGCTGTCTTTGGCACTTTGGCAGCTCTCATTTTATCGCTGTCGCTGTAAATTATGTGGCTCATAATGCTGAAACAAGACTGAGAATGCCACCTGCCAGGGTCGAATGTGGAAAATCACCCAAAAATATACATGGTAGCTGTGGCTCTGTGTGCGAAATGTGTCACTTGGCGTCAATTTAGTTCATCCCATCCCAGGGATGTCCTTTTTCGACGTAATAAAGTCCTTGAATGTGACTCTGTCTCTGTGTGGAGGTGAAATAAGTGTGTCACTTTAGGGACTCGGATTAGGTTTCATATTTGCAGACACACTCTGGTGTCCGTTGGCTAATTAGCTAATCAGATTGTGGGGAACCGGTCTCCACCGAAAATGTTTTCCTCATTTACAAAGACGAAAAATGGGAGACCATAGTGGTTATATCATTTTCAGCTCAAAGGAAATGGGCTTTGATCAAATTAACTTTTTCTAATTTCTTTCAATTAAACCGCAGGAAAGTTAGGTTTTTTCTAATCTGCTAGATTAAATCATTTCGTTGGAGGAATTTTTCAGCCCCTCATGCCATGCTAGTTAAATTGCGTGCACGTAAATTTAATTACGTAAAACTTGCCATACAATTTGTTTACTCGTTCAAAACAAACTTTAAAACTTGCCGCTGAGTTGTCAATGCGGTGGTTCCCCGGTCCCCTGGTCACTTGCAGGCAAAAACTTTGTCCGCAGCGGGGAAAACTTACTTAAAAACAAGAGAGAACGCTATAGTCGGGTTGGTGTCCCGACTATCTAATACCCGTCACTCAGCTAAAGGGAGTGCGAACGCTGTGTCGGGTTGGTGTCCCGACTAATAATCGTAACTCAGCTAAAGGGAGTGCGAGGGAGATAGATATATGTTGACAATTTATAAAGCGTATAACTTTTTAATGAATGGTCCGATTTGAAAAATGTCTTCTACATTTCGATAGGTATAAATATACACAACAAAATTGCATTTATACTTCTCGGAAATCTTTAAAGATGTGGGCGCAGGACCCATTTTAAAATCGTTAGTGGGCGATTGTGGGCGTTAGAGGGGGCGTGGCGCTCAGCTAAAATAAACTTGCGCTGCGTAGGAAGCCAAAGAATATGTGTGGGAAATCTCAACCTTTTAGCTTTTGTAGTTTCTGAGATCTCAGCGTTCATACAGACGGACAGACGGACAGACGGACAGACGGACAGACGGACAGACGGACATGGCTAGATCGACTCGGCTAGTTACCCTGATCAAGAATATATATACTTTATGGGGTCGGAAACGCTTCCTTCTAGCTGTTACATACTTTTGCACGAATCTAGTATACCCTTTTACTCTACGAGTAACGGGTATAAAAAATAATTAAAACACTAAGTGCTCACTCCAAGCAGAAGAAACGAAAACGAAAAACAATTTTGCGGCTAATTAGTCGCAGAGCAAATAATTAATTAAATTTCTTTGACTGCCTGGGAGTGGGTTACAGCGATTTAATTTTGTCTACCCATCGATTTTTGACTGTCGCCTGCAAATTAGGATTATTCGGGCCTCTCGCTTTGATGGCGTGCCACTGGCCCATTTGAATTTAGAAACCCCAAATCAGTTCTCAAAAATGTCAACTTGCAAAAAATAAATGTTAACTTGTATTTTTTTTTTGCCTGCAATTAAGACAAATTAGTCGTCCGTCGGCTGACGGAAATGTCAAGCTCAATGGGAAGACTCGAGGTAGGCTTTTATTTTGGTAGTGCGGGGCTTTACCACCCGTAAAAGGAAACAACTTACAAGACCGCCGACCTTCACCGTTCGCTTTCTTCAACTTTGACTGTTGCATCGCGTGCCGCTTCCGTCTTCTTTGGGGATTTATTTTTACCATATTTGCGTTGCCTGCTGTCTAAACTCTGACATAAGCCTCCCTCGAAGCTACCCTCTATATAATAGTCAACACCTGAGCTGCTCAGCGGATTTCAATGCTGTCAATCAATTAGATTTCTGCCTATATACACACACTAAAAATAAAAAGGCCCACACACAACAGGTTTTCCTACGGGGCAAAAAACACATGGAAAGCGGAAAGCCAGGGGGTGTGGAAATGCATTTTCCTGCGCCTGCAAGTAGGCCACACAACATTCAACATTTAAATTGAAATTGATGGCCGAGCGGCGTTTGCGGTCTGTTGCTGTTTCGATTGTGTCTGCGTCTGTCAGTTGTTTGCGCTTTTGTGGCATGTAAATTACGGGGGGCAGGAAATTAAATAGATATTTATATTGTTAACCAAGTTCTAATATTAAAGAATTTATGCACTGGGATGGGGAAACCCACACCCTTTAATAAATTAATTTGAAAAACTCGTAAAAAGAATTATGAGAACCACTTGAGAGCATTTATGGCGCAGGCAGGATTTATGGCCTTATGAAATGGCAAACCGAACTCAACACACAAACAGGCCAATAAAACTTAACTGGAAGACAATGGGAAAACCTGCAGAAAACGCACATATGTGTGCTTCAAGGGGCAGAAACGGGGACCAACTTCTCATATCGCAATGCGTGCTAGGTACTTGGAGCAGGGAAATTAATAATAGCCAAATTTTATGGCCAAGAATCACGCAACGAAAGTTGGCGAGCAATAATTGGCAGAATGTTAATAGAAATGCGAGTTATACGCGCATTTAATTGAAGACAGTAAAAGCCAACTTCACTTTTTTTCCCGTGACTGGCAAAAACAAAACCCAACTGCATTGACGTCAGAAGAAGAAGTTGCAGAAACCATAATCAAACTCACCTCATCAGCTCAAAGGTGATGCACAAATGCTTGCGGAAATAAGTGTAGTCGAGCATGTGTATGACATTGTGAGATCCATCCGCATCCTTTTCGCGCAGCTCATCGAGGATATTGAGCTCGACGACGGCCTGGTTGAGGAAACGCTTCTTGTTCCTTATGATCTTGATGGCCACGTGTGTGTTGGTCTTGTGATCCAGCGCCCTGATAACCTGGCCGAAGCTGCCTTTGCCAATTACCTCCAGGATCTCGTAACGGAAGGCTATGTGATCGTGTTCGATCTGTAAAATATAGAAATAAATATTAAATAATATTTTAATGTTATTTCCAGCCTGCACTTACGATCTTGTAGTTGCCATTATCATCATCATAGCCCAGATTGGTGGTGTTGGCTGTGGGGGCGGGTTTGTTGTAGTTCTTGCTGGCGTGCTGGCCAAAGTACCAGACCTCCTTGTACACCTTGAGCTCCTCGAACTCCTGATCGGTTAGGTAATTGCGGTACTTCTTTACCAGTTCTGTTCAAAAATTTTTAAGGAAATTATGTGTTAGAAATTATTCACTTATTCACCAGATTGGCAAATTTAAAAGCTTTTTGATATTCTTTATTTGCCTTCCCAGCATTAATTTTATTTCCATCATGCCTAAAAGCATTTTCGTGCTTACTGCTCTCCACTGAAACAACTCGTCCTTTTACTCTTTTTGTAACCAAGTGAACAGGTAATTGAGAATTTTCCCATGTGGCAACTGCCACTTTAAAACCCTATTGACCCTGACCTCAATGCCATTTTACTTGTTTTTTTTTAGATGTATATAAAATTAATTAGAGAGCTGGGGAATGATGGAGTGTGGCCACCAAATGCCTGGAGGGCGTGCTCAACTAATTGGCATTGGGCTGCAGCGATGCAAACCAGCAAACGCACAAAGCATCGCTACTCTTTGGTTTTGGCCCCAAACGGGCAGCCTCTTATCCGACCTCATTGAGGGTGAAGTAAACCCACTGATGGTAGATTTGTATACTATTCTTAAATTTTGGATGTTATGTGTTAAGCTATCTCCTTCCTAAAAATAAATACTTATAGTATTTATAAATTTTTATGATTTTTTAAAAATAAAACCATTTTTTATAAAAATTTTAATGTTTTTCCATCTGTTAACTTTTAAATTGGTTTTCGGTACCCTTAATAGCTTTTAAATAAAATCCAGCCAGGATAAATCTAACATTAAACTAAAGTAAATACAGTTCTCTGTGCAACCTACAAATTTTTAAAAAATACATAAATATGTTTAAAAATGAAATTGTTCCTTTTTTAATAGTAATCTAAATCCATTCAGGCTATTTTAATTTTAATTTAATTAAACATTACTAAAAAATAAGCTTAAAAAGGATAAAGAACCTGCCAAAAAGGCACTGCAGTTTTCTTTCTGTGCTGTTTGGCCAAGTACTATGAAAATGGGAAATATTTCCTGCCACCCGGCAAGCAAAGGGTTAATGGAGATGGTTCTGCTTACCAGATGGCGTCATGGGCGTGTTGCATTTGAGCTCGGCACTTCCTGTGCTGCTGGCCGAGTTGCCCGAGCTGCCGCTGCCACTGCTGCTGTTGGATTTTGTGGAGGAGCCGCGCTCGTTGCCGCCGCCATTACTGCTGTTTGTTGTCGATGAGGAGACGGGCGATCCAATGTTGTTGTTGATGTTGCTGTTGCCATTGCTGTTCCCATTTCCATTTAGGGATGTCGTTGTCACCGCGGACTCATTGACAGCCACATGGTTGTTGTGGCCATCCAATCGTCGCGAGCCATTGCACAGTTGTGGCAAATCGAGTCGAGAGCCCGACAACCGAACATCCCGTCGCAATTTCTCGTTGTCCAGCTGGATCTGCAGGGGAAACAAGAACATCATTAGTAAGTTTTTGGTGAGTTATCATGGAATATTGCTGCATACTCCCGGGAAGGTAACGAGATCTGAATGAAGAAGCTGATATCCCGTGACTTGGTGCCGCAAAAACAGGCATACTTTCTGGCTGAACTCCCGATTAACAATACGTTTGCGTATCTTTTTCCATTTCATTTTGGTTAGTCTTCTACTTTCTCTTATACTTGTTCATAAAAATATATTTGTTGTACAAATATATCAAATATTTTCTTGACAGTAAATTCCAAAGGAGAGTGTAAAAATATTACAATCTCCAGAAAACTCTAACAAACTCTGAACAACAAAAAATTCAAGCTCTGAATAGATTAATCTTGGATAGTCTAGTTTTAAAATTCTCAGCTTATTAATGATTTGTTTACTTCCTCCTTATTATAGATATAAAGACCAATACTTACCGGCATTTCGCATCGATCCAACATTGTGCCGACTTCGCTGTGTTGTCGATTTTATCCAAAAGAGAAACGTATCCACAAAGAATAGTAACCCTGAGCCCGGTGTGCTTAACTGTTTGAGTCGTATCTCCTCTTCCGGCAAACAATTATTGATAACTTTCGGGGTAATATGTCTTTGGGGCGCACATTTGCATTTGTTTTGGTTGTTGGGTGCCAACTGCAAAGAAAAAAGGAGAAGGTCTATAAGAAATGGACGTTGCAAGTCTTTAAACCCTTGACTTTTTAACCCTTTTCCCGGTAACTAACGCAAAGTAAAGGAAATATAATAATCATAAATAATATAGAATCAGCGGGCGATGCGCATTTCAAGTGCACACCATAAATATAACGATAAATGGTAAACAGCAACGCCCCCGAAATATCAATGACATGGCATGGGGCACAGTTCATATACCATAACTAACTCAAAATGCCGACAACAAGAACGCCAGCAGTCCGTCAGCTACCAGTTAGCAGTTTTCATTGTCAAGGCGGGCGACGACAAGCGGCCTCATCAAAAGACCCGAAAACTTTATTCATATTTTCCCCAAAAGGGTCGTAAAGAACCAGTCGTAGTCGTCGTAGACCCCCGAAAAACCCTACCCAGTTCCACACAGTTCCCATTCCCATTCCACCGATTGCAACGGCCGGTTTGGCTGACAGGCATAAAAACTCGGAAACCAAAGTCATGGCCAATTATTGGCCTTTTTCTCTTGCCCTTTTTTTTTTTGTTTTTATTTTGGCTCGTTGTGCATTTGACAGTTTGAACGTTTGTTGTAAGGGATACCAAGCTCGAACTCGCACTCAATATGCATAATAATCCTAACCCTTTTCAAAACACTAAAGCCACCCTAAGTGCGGCGGGAAGTTCGGTTTGTTTGGGAAGTTTCCTTATGAATAGAGGCATAATAAAAGCAGTTTTTCGGAAGTGCACTGTAATGAAATTATTGTGACTGATTATTATAAAAATATATAGATCTTATATTACCAGTTTCTTTAACAAGATTTTCTCTCACTGCACCTTAGTCCAAAGTCCCGAAAAAAAGTTTGTGGTACCCCTGACAGTGGTAACCACTCGACTAGTATCTATTTTACTTAACCATTTTGTCTAGCATTTTTATTTTCATTTCAGCTGTCTCTCTATATCTTTTGCGGTTCGGCATGCTCAGTTAAATTTATTGGCTTTTAAAACTTTTCTGTCATAAAATCGTAATTTACAGCATTCGTTTTCTTCATCAAACTGACAGTTACTGTGGGGTTTGAAGGAGTACTGCATTGGGGGCTGAGTTCGAGGCTTTCCAAGGCATCACAGGGTACATTTCTGTGTTGTCTGCTTGTTAAGTCGTTAGCTCTACTTGTTTCTTTTCCCTACTTTTGTTGGAGTTGGATAAAGTTACCCGGTTAGCTACCAACAACAACAACAGCTCACTCAGTCAGTCATTCAGGTTGTCAGTCATTAAATGCACTTTTTGGGCTTGCCATTTTCCGTCTGTTTGAGTTTAGCCATTTGTGCAGAGAGACCAAAAGTCAGGACCAGTTTCACATTGTGTCTGCTCGAAGTTTGATAAGCGAAAGTTTTTTGAACCCCACACTTTGTACCTAAGCTCTTGGCAAGGTTGAACAATTATGGCTAAATTTAGAGACCTTTGAAAAGGTGTCTCTCGTTGCTGACGGTCAAAAGTACGCATTGTTCTCCCAGATTTAAATGACAAATCAATTGAGACAGTGCGGACTGCCGTCAATTGTAAGTAAGTCCAACAATTACACGCCCCAGCAATCGAACCATTTATCGACATTTTATGACGCCGGTTTTTGCTTTTGCCTTTGCATTGATTCCAATTGAGAAACGTCAAGATCATTGGGGATCGTTTGTCATTGCTTTGACACCCACCCAATAATGTCTGCAATTTCTATTAATGACACTGAATTTCAAATGTCTGTCTCAATGTTGAACGAAGATGTTTTTGGCCAAGCTCTGTGCTTGGGTAGATTTGGCATTGACGGTTCGCATTGAACAAGTCAAATCAAACTTCAGAAATATAGAGAGAAACCTCCAAACGACAGATCGATATCGTATCACATTTCAGATCGAAGTGGTCAATTCAAAGCGATACCGCGCTGATTTATTTCTTAGTCATCTTAATCCAATTGCGAAATTATGTTTAAGGTCCAAACGAAAGTTTACCCCCCTCTATATATAAGAAAAAACAACCCGCTTTAATTTGGTAAGCGCCCATTTTTTATTTCTCCCCATTGCATAATCCACTTAGAGTCCCCGTCAGCTCAACTAATTTCGCTTTTTGATGATGATGCTGCCTGCTCCGCTGACCCAAAGCATTAAAACAAAATATTAAGCCATTAATTTGAAATTTCTGCGCCAAGTGTCGGCAGACACCAAGAAAATAAAAAAACAAAAGGAAAATTGGCCACTCAAAGTAATTGAGTTGCACTAAGTTAAAATTTCTCGTTGCCTGTCTCCGAAATTAACAATCTCGAAAAAAAGGGGAGAGAAGACTTTTGTGGCAATAAAAATGTCAAGAAATTTATGTGAATAATTTGTCAATTTATTACCGAGACTTATTTTGACAAGTGCGGGAAAATCATTTCAATCTAAGAAAAATGACGAAGAAAAAGTATCCGAAATTGTAGAGTGCATCCAAGTGCATTTTGTTTATGGGTAATCCAACTTCCCAGTCTGCTGAGGTTTTTATCTTTATTTTTTTTAATGCTTAATAAATGTCAATTGCTTACCGAGGCGGTGAATTTGTTTGTGCCTCACCGTTCATCAGCGAGGCAAACATTGAGGAGGAGAGACATAAATAAATAAAAAGAAAACAACAAAACGTGACATTTGGTTGTTGACTTTTGACACTTGCAATCATTTTCGGCAGTCCCGAAGCGAGATTTATATGCAAACCCGTTGACTCGACAGATCTTCTGTAAAGTAAGTTCTTCTACTACATTTTATATACATTTTCTGTTGCATTGGCAGAAAAACCTTCGATGGCAGCTGCAAAATGTCAGACATTGTTAAAGGAGTGCTGCCATTTGTAAGCTTCGTTTTCGGGGCAGTGTCAACAAGAAGAGGATGCCACCGAATTCGGTCGGTCTTTCCCGGCGAAATGCCAGCGGGAATTCTAGCAACTCTCGGCTTTGGAATCTCGATGGCCTCAACGTGTCAATAAGCTGTCCAAAAATTGTGTTGGCCAACTCGCCCCATTGTCCGATTTGATTTATTGAAATGTTTCTTTTGATTTCATGACGCCTCAAGTGCCGCCTGCCAAAAAATTCCCCCTCCACGTGCATACAAAACAGATAATTTTACATTATAAAAATATTTTTACAAATATTTCTCGCCCGTAATGAGACTTGAAGACCTCACGTCTAGGGTTTTTATTTTATAGTCTTACAAGCGGCATATGCATGAAATCGAAAACGACTCGAATCTATTGTTCAATCAGATTTTATTGATTTGTCTGTCTGTCTGCGGCCCAAAAATGCCAAACAATTTTTGACACTTTGAAGTTTTGGGGGTAAAGAACACATTATGGGGCTTTGATCTTTGGGTTTCACGGAAAGGCTTGGGAGAATCTAAAAACAGATGCCAATAGCAAGCAATGTGGTGAACTTTCAAGCTGTTATACAAACAATCAAAAGTCTATAATGATTCTAAAATGTTTACGTCGGAAGATTTTTTAGGAGACTAATCAATAGTATTTTAGGTGATCAATATTATGATATTGGTTACTTTAAAGGTTTTATTTAGCTTTACCCTTTAAACCTTGTGGATGTTAAACTTAAACGTAATTTCGCAATCACTCGTAAAACCCAATTGATTATTACAACCGGTAGTCTGCATAAATGCACTCAAAAGGGCATGCATGTATGCTTTTTAGCATGCCCATCATAATGTGCAACAATTTTATATACCTACTACTGCTTTTTTTATAGCTCGACGCTAGACATGCATGTTAGGCTCAAATTTTTCAAGAAATTCGCAATGGTTTATACATAGAGAGCTGCTACTTCGATTCGGTTGGATATTCGGCACACGTGACCCAAATGGGCGTTACTCCATTTAATTATGTGGCACACCAAGAAACACCAAGAGAAAATACATAAAGCATCATTTGTCAACCGGCAAAATTTCGGTTAACTATTACCTCGCGTGGCCCAGAAAAAAAGAGCGCCAGCCCACGAAAATAGAAAATAAATAAATGCAAAAAAAGAGAGGGACTAGGGCGACATGCTATAAACATTTTTGTTCATTTAATTTCGCGCAGACATGAAACATAAGTGAAATTCATTTAGTTTTCATTATTACGCTTATTTTCGTACGCCGAAAGCAGGCCACAAATTGCATGCCACCTAATTTGGTTAGGGCCCCGGAATGCCTTTTCAACCGGGCATTAACCAGGCCCCCTAAATGTGACCTCATAAACCATTGACCCACTAACCCCAACCCTAAGTAATGACCCCGGGCGCAAAATGTCAACAAATCCATATAGATTTCAGCCGGAGGGAGTCCGAATGGGGAGCGGAAGTAGCAGCGATTCCAGTCGCTTGGTTGGTTTGGTTAGGTGGTGTGCTAGGTCACCAGAGGGGAACCACTCGGTGGTCAGTGCCGCAGTTGGCATAGGTTCTTAGGTCTCGTTGATCTAATTCCATCTTGAATTCAACAAACTGTAAATGTTTTTAATTTTCAAATGTTTAACAGCTATTTTTTTAAAGGATTTTTCTATTTTATTAGAAACTTGTAACAACTATATCAAAATAACATAAAATATTTATATTTTTACAATATTTTAATTTTATTGATTTGTGATAAAAAACCTCCTGTAAGTCATAACTCTTTTTTCCAGCACTTCACATATTTTCGAGAATATTTGCTTCCTTATAATAACTTCCATATATATTCATAACTCAAAGAAGTAAAGTTCTTATTACCTTTACAACCCATACAAAAACCAAAGCAACAGATGTCACAATACCCGGTTATGCGAGGTGTGCGCCTGACATGAAAACCCTAATACCGCAACACCGTCAACCCCCCGAGTGGTGAAGGGCCAACGCGGCGTATGGGTAATGGTGGTCAATGCACTGTTTAAATCGGAAAAGCTCCCCAGCCGTAACCTCCATCGGAACCTGGGGTGCCATCGGTTGGTCGGTAGTAAAAAC